AATCAAAGCAACAAAATGATAATTTTTATTCAAATAGAACAATAATTTATTCGAGATCCAAATACAGAATCACACTACTTCAAAGAAGAAATAAAGAAACCCACACAAGGGCTCTAAAACGATCTGGTCGGAGGACAACCCAGCCAAATAAGTCTAAACTTACTCAAGCGACTGGACTCAGCTTGAGCTTGGAATACCAAGGACCTCTCCCACACATCCATCAGTTCCTAGTGCAATTCTACGACCATCTGCTTCAACACGGCCACCTCGCACTCCAAGTCATCAGTCGGACCACCTAACCAACTATTTTTACAGTAGAAGACACACTGGTCACGCGCACTAGAGCATTATCAACCTCGTTCGGGCAAGTGTATGTGCCAGCTCATGATCCCTTTCATTCTCTCTCTCCCTCAGTATATCCTCACCTGCCACCACCCGAGAGTCCCCTCCGCAACCAAATTGGTCGAATCCCTCTGCACCCTTGCCATGCTCGGGTTGGCAGTTCCCTGGATCATCTATCCATCTCCCACCGAGAAAGCACAACAAAAAAAACAAGCATTTATCCTACTAAGTGGGGTCGGCTACATAAATCTTTTTTCTCCATCGCATCTTATTGAGAGTCCTATTTTCATTTAATTCTAACAATTTAAGATCTTTTGTATACAATATGCTTATCCTACTAAGTGAGGTCGGCTACATAAATCCTTTTTTCTCCATTGCGTCTTATTGAGTCATATTTTCATTAAATTCTAACAATTTAAGATCATTTTTGTAGACAATATGCCCTAGTCTTTCAAGTTCTACCTCTGTCTTTCTTAGCATAAGTCAAATTAAAAACATCTACTCTCCTAACTGGATTATCAGATGGATGATATTTAATATGACCAAACCATCTAAGACGACTCTAATTTTGTCTGCCACTGGAGCTACATCAACGCTATCACAGATATATTCATTTCACATTTTGTGTAAGTGTCAAGCCGCTCATCCACCTAAGCATTCTCATCTCGGCAACACTTAACTTTGTTTATGATTAGCTTTTAAAGATCAACATTCTACGTCATAGAAAATTGCAAGTCTCACCACCATTTTATAAAACTTCCTTTTCAGTCAAAGAGGTACTTTTCTATCACATAATAGATCTGAAGCACTCCTCCATTTCAACCAAACACCTTGAATTCTACTAATAAAATTCCAACCTATATCACCATCACTTTAAATAATAGACCCGAGATATCTAAAGATTTCACATCTTTTAATGATTTAATCACCCATAGTATCATTCTGCCACTATAGTTATTACTACTAAAATTACATTCCATATATTCAGTTTTAGTTCTACTCAAATGAAGGCCTTTAGACTTCAATGCAAACCTCCATAATTCAAGTTTTTCTTGAACAGTTTCTCTAGTCTTATCCACGAGAAGGATATCATCAGCAAAAAGCATACACCAAGGTACATCCTCCTGTGGATGTCCACTGAAAGCATTCATAACTAAAGCAAAAAGATATAGGATTAAAGCAGGTCCCTGATAAAATCTCACTGAGTAGGAAAATATTTGGTCAATCCTCCTTCTGTTCAAACACAAGTAACAGCTCAAGTACAAAAATCCTTAATGACTTGAATATATGTCATATCAACACCTTTCTTTTCTAGAACTCTCCAAAGGATTTCTCTTGGAACGTTATCTTAAGCTTTCTCTAAATCAATAAAAATCAAATATAGATCATCCTTATTCTCTCTATCCTTCTCCATCGAACCTCTCAATAAATGTATAGCTTCCATAGTAGACCTATCTGGTACAAATCCAAACTGATTATTAGAAATCTTAGTAACATGTTTTAATCTATGTTCAATTATCCTCTCCCATAAATTTAAAGTATGGCACATAAACTTAATTCCTCTATAATTTGTACACACTTGTGCATCCCCTTTATTCTTAAAAGTCCTTTATTCTTAAAAGTGGGGATTTGTACACACTTGTGCATCCCCTTTATTCTTAAAAGTGGGGACCAAAATACTCTTCCTCCACTACTCAGGCATCCTTTTGGTTTTTTAAATAATATTAAGAGTTTAGAAAGTGAAGAAATTCTCAAACCTCCTAAATATTTCCCACCAAGAAAACACCCATAAACGAATTCAAATTTAGTTGGCCCGAGCTCTCTGCGTAATAGCCCAGGCAAATGAATTGGCTAGGGATAAAACATTCTAAAGCTGAGAAAGGGAAGCATAAGCAAAACATATTATAACATGAGCAAAACATTAAAATCTTAATATATACCCCTTAAATTTTGTGAGTAACTCTAAAACTGTCACTTTACCCTGCTCCTCAATACCAGGCGAAGTTGTAGGAGCTAGGATGGATGTCTGAAGAAGTGAACCACTGGTTGAACCAACTGACGGTAGCTTCACAATAAAGGCCACTACCACCATATTGACATCAGTCAGAGTCGTCTACATCAATCTCCCTGGCCAAAAGATGGGTGGATCCTCTTCTGCTTTGCTACAACCTTCCATCTTTTCAAACCTTTGTACTTCTTCTTGTTCAGCACGTTGCAAAGAAATTCTTTGCTTGGAATGTTCATCTACGACCAAGTAAGATCTGTCATAACTTACTAATGCGCACAGAAAAACAATTATGTTTAAGAATTAAGAGAATGATGCTGAAAAAAATGGGCTCAAAGACATCTCATCATTCTGTTGAGATGAGCCAGAAGCCTCAGGATCCAAGGGAGTATTCACATTATGAGTACTTATTTTAATTTGGGGATAATTATTGCATTGAATTCTCTCATTTTTATCACAACACAATCTTCTAAGATATGAAAGAATCGATAAACTAAATATGTATGACCAAGAAGTAGTTACTTGGATCAACATAGGATTGAACTAAAGCATCGATTAAGTCACTCATAGACCGAGTACGAGGAACCAAAAAGGCAAAGGATCCTCTCCCTCAAAAAAATTTTAACCAAGGGAAAACCTCTCCAAGACCCAACTATAGCGGGGATATGACTATTAAAGATAGTTTTGTAGATAGGTCTAGGGATGCGTAGGCCTAAACATGTCATTTTATAAAGACCAACCCCTATAAAAAGAGGGAATTAAATATAAACCATATTCTAATTTTTCACTCCCAGGAGCCACAGAAAAATCCCTTCTAAATCTTCTTCGTCTTGCTCAGTTCTCTTCCCCTGTTTTCTCTCCTTCCAGACACTATAGCAAATCTGGCTTCAACAATATCAGATCCCTCCTTTTTGTCAACATTATGATTCCATGTAAGCTGCCTTACCACAATCCATAATAACAAACAAATAATCCTCCTTTAAATATTTACCTTGTTCTTCAAAATCAACTATATTTATAATTGATTTCCCAATAATCCGATGAAATAGCTAGTCCTTCTTCAAGCCAATGAAGACACTCTATACCCTCTCCTGAGCTAAGAAGCAAGAAAACTTTGCTTCTATTAAAGAAGCACCATATCTTTATGATGTGTAATTGATTCATAAATTGTCATGAGTTCACATGTGAACAAGATGCCATACAATGAACAAGTGAAATATCAACATTAATAATATGGTTAAACAATTTATCTATTTATTGTATGCATGACCATTTTTTATAGTTAATTTCAATTTCTTGAGTATCATTATAATGCATATGAATCAAGGTCTCCACACATCTTCATTATCATAGATCTCTATGTCAACAGTTCAAGGATATAGTAGATTATATTGCAAGGAGAGTTATGTTGATCATTCATGTCATCATTAATTTTATAGATGCCATACATCATATAACATGCATAATTATGCTCACTTCACCATTCAATTGTTTGCTCCGTATAAATTAGCAACAAATGGTCAAAAAGATTAATCAATGATGTGAACTAAGATATTCTTGTTGAATGGACAAGCCTAGTTGAGGACTATCATTATAATGATCGATATTCTGAAGATGATCTAGATGTTAATGATGATGATGATATCTAGTGTCCATTATGCTTGAGCCTAATGTATTCTAGAGCATGATAATGTGTCTAAGTAGAACATACTTTTTGCTTTCGTGTTTGTTAAGAAAATGTTAAGTGATGTTCCCCAACTACATGTCTTGGTCAATATTGCTCCATTATCAATACTAAATGATTTCATTGACTTTATCTCACGTCCATCACAGCCATATCCATTGCCCATAACTAATAAGTTATATAGGAGTAAGAAGTTTGGTGGTGTTGGGTACCAATCAAACAGATCTTCATGTGCTTCTTGAACTTCATGAAGACCTACAATCCATGCATGAATCAAATGGTGAGATATTCCATGCTTGTGTTGTTTTGATTTCATGTGTTGGATACGTTAGTCCTTTTCTCATTACTCGTGCATAGCTTTGTCTTTCGGGTGTAGACCATATTCAATATAAAGGAAATAAAATAATTATTAAGATTCTTGAATTTTGAAAAAGAATTCACCTAGGGTCCCTCCCTTTCTCCCCCTCTCTCTTGCCTCTAGATTCCTTTTCATTTCACTTTGAGCGCCTTGGAATGAGTAACTTGGAATATGGATTGTTTCCCGCTTTGTTCATCACTTTTTCCAGATCCGTTACCTCTATGTGAGCTGGATACGTAAAGCTTGATGTCTGCATATTGAGCTATTCCAATTAGTTTAGGAGGTTCCTTTCCTATAACTTGCTCTTATTAACTATAGTCCCATTTTAATTAAGTTTCCCACTAAATTCACTGTTAAAAAAAAGGAATGCAGATGCCTTAATTTCCGGAGCAAATCATGAAAGAAAGAAAGAACCATTGAATTCCAAGGTTTAATTTGTTTGGATTTTTGGTGCAGAGTTTCGAAATAGACATGTTTTCCTGGCCAAATCAAAACTCAGTATGGCTCAAGCTAATCTACTAGAAACTATTGGAGTTATAACAACAGCATGGCTACAGGAGAAAGCATTAATTTTATATCACTCATTATAAATACAGTTTGAAAAATCATGCCTGGAATTTAAGTTGTATAAATCCTTTGGCATGTAACCTTCAGGAGAAACAGATTCTGTTGGTGGAGGCAACCATACAGTAGTAAATCCAAGCGAAGCTAATTCATCAGCCTTTGGCTTCAGTTCAACATACCATCTTCCTGATTTGTGAGATTCCCAATTGAATCCTTGACAAAGGATTTCATGGCCAGAGCCAGTTCCTGAACAGACCTTTTCGGAAGGCTTCAATTGTTCAGTTTCCTGGGCAGATTCATCAACGAACGCTGGGGTAGAGCTTCTGAAGATGTTATAAGCTTCTGCAGCCAACTTCTCAATTTCTCGAAGGATGTTCTCTTGTGCTTCTTTACTCTTTTCCTTTTTACCCCTCTCAGAAGCTATATTAGTTAACAGACTTCTTATACCTAGAATGATGTCATCAGTGTATGCAACTTGGTAGCTTCCTTGGTGAGTCTCAACAGTTTGTTGATTGCCATCCCTAAATTCATGTTCTCTGGACCAACCTTGTTCTTCAGCTGCTGTTGAATCCTTCTTTTTAAAACTTGCAAGAGGGATATAGAAATCAGCTCCTTGATCATTCAGCCATGTGTCTTTATTAAGCTTGAGCACGAAAAGAACACCTGTAATGTCCTTGTCTAAATAAAAAAAACCACAACTGCCTGAGCCATTCGCTTTTGGCTGCAAGACAATTGGCTACACAACGTTACTAAATGCCAGAAAAAAGAAATGGGAAAAATAGATACAGCGTGCTTGTTATAATAAAAGGCAAGTATTAATTGCAGCTAATACCATGTCACCCTATATACAATAAACATACAGCCATTTTTAATCAAAAATCTATATTGGCATGTTAGTACAACTCAACATTTATGAAAGCTGCACCTCCTTTATGAAATGGTTAAAATAATATAGAATGCAAAGCTAAGGCCCTTAAAAGTTGAAAACCAAATAATCTCATAGAAAAGTGCCTTAAGAGCAATGAACTCACTTTCATATGCAAGGAGAAAATGTAGAAAACAAGAGATAGATCGTTTAAGAGATTCAACAAAGCACATTACATCCATGGTGGCATAAAAATATGCTCATTCCACTAAATCATAAATAAATCCACTTATTTCATCACTTTTATCACACTACTATTTGTCCCTCTAGTATTCCCTCTCCAAAACTAAGCATGATTCATCCACCGGCTATGCTCACCAGGAAAGAAAAGTATATTGCATCCTTTGTTATAGATGACAGCATGATGAGCCTAAGGGTCAGTAAGTGGAAAGAGAAAACACCATGATGGGCCCATGTGTAAGAAACTTGAGCAATATCCCTAATGATTATCTTCAAAGAGCCATCTAACTCACCAAAAGAGAGGACAACCACGTCATTAAAAAATATAAAGCACCAAAACCTTTCAAGAGTGTGGCAAAGCACTCATTATCAATTATCCTCGTTACATAAGTGTAGCACCCTTTATATAGCATTACAACATGAAAATAAAAGAACGATAAAAAAATAAAATTATTACATGAGAATAAATTGCTTGAATTTTAAAATCATTGAATTTCTTGCATGTTCTAACTTGTAGCCAAAATCATAAAGGTTCTTCATACTTGGTTGAGGTTTCAACCTTCCGAAGTTACTTTTTTCTCCAAATTTTGGGTTTTGAATTTGCTCGAGTGCTTATTTCCTTCAAGTTGGAGCATAGATGTCTGACAAGTTCAACTTGAATTTAAAGTCGTTGAACAAAGGAAGAGGAAGATTCATGGTGAGGACGTCCGCTAGTTAACCAGTGGAGGGTACATATGAAACACAAATTTCCCCGGACTTAATTTTTTCTTTAATAACGTGTCTGTCAATCTCCACATTCTTAGAACAACCATGTTGGACTAAATTGTAAGCAATGTTAATTGTGGCCTTACTATCATAGAATCGTTGCAGTGGGACGGAGGTTGGCATACAAAGTTCGCGAAGCATGATGTATAGCCGGAGAGCTTCACAGATTCTTAAGGACATGGACTGGAATTCAGCTTCAGCACTGCTTCAAGCAACCACAAACTGGTTTTTGCTTCAAGGTTACCCCATAAAAATGAGCAATACCGCGAAGTGAAACGTTGATCATGAACTGATCCGGCTCAATCAGCATATGTAAAAACAGCAATAGACCAAGGGTGACGAGAAATAAATAAATCTAAGCCCGGCTTGCCTTTCAAATAGTGGAGAATCTGGTCGACGGCTTGTAGATGGTGTTCATAAGGATCATGCATGAATCGACTCACTATATCAACAGTGTAACATATGTTGGAGCGAGTATGGGCGAGAGAGATGAGTATTCCAACAATGCAATGGTAATGAGCCTTGTTGGCACACACAGCATTGGAAATGTCAAATATTTTTTCATTTGAATCCATAGAAACAGCAACAAGTTTGCACAAAAGAAGGTTATTCTCTGTCAAGAGATCAATCATATATTCGCGTTGAGATAGGCAAATACCCCGAGATGACCGAACCACTTCTATTCCTAAGAAGTACTGAGGGATCCCAAGTCCTTCATTTTAAAAGACTTAGCAAGAATCTTTTAAGGACTCCAATGTTGGGAGATCGTTACCTGTAAGAATAATATCAGCAACATAGACAATAATAATAGCTACCTGATCATTGGAGGAATGTTGGAAGAAGAAGGTGTGATTAGATTAAGCCTGAGTAAAGCCATGGCTCACGATCACCTTTGTGAACTTGCAAAACAAGGTCCTTGGGGACTGCTTTAGTCAATTGAGGGACTTTCATAGCCTGCACACTTGTCCTCTGGATGCAGTAGAATCAAAGTCAGGAGGGAGGGACATATACACCTCTTTAGTAAGCTCTCCATTCAAGAATGCTTTCTTGACATCTAGTTGGAATAGAAGCCAATCCAGCTTTATCGCAAGTGGCAACATGATCCGAATAGTATTTAACTTAGCAGCTTGAGCAAATGTCTACTTATAGTCAACTCTGTAGGCCTCTGAGTATCCTTTGGCAACTAATCATGCCTTGTAGCGTTCAAAGGACCAGTTAGAGTTGAACTTGGTGTTGAAAATCTAACAGCACAAAATAGCTTTCTTACTCTGAGGAAGATCCACGACGTCCCATGTATGGTTCAACTAAAGGGCATTTATCTCCTCCATTACTGTTGTTTTTCAAGTTAGATCAGCAAGAGCAACCTCAGTAGTTGGATCTGATGGTCTGTCAGGGCAGTAGCAAACGCTCTATAGATCGGCGATAAACCGTGGAAAGAGACATATTTTGTCATAGGATGGAGAGAGCATATATGATTACATACCTTAATTGGAGAACTCACCTCCTAATTCGGAGGAAGGGTCGTGCTCAGGATGTCATCCAAAGTGGCGTCAAGGTCCTGTAAGGAGGTAGAGAGCTCCAGAGTAGAAGCATTGGACGGGTGCGCCAAGTGTAGAAACGGACAGTGGGTGAAGGAGATGGTGCACTCAACTGAACGAAGGAATCCTTGGTGGTAAGAGCAGTGGGTGGAACATCTATAGGCGTACGATAAGGGGCAATGTAGGGAGGCCAAGCTAAAAAATAGAGAACACTTTCAAAGAAAGAGACATCAGCACTTACATAGATTTTGTTGCTAGTTGGGTCAAGGCTTCGATATCCCTTTTGAGTTGTGGAAAACTCCAGGAAAATACATTTTATGGATCTGATATCAAGTTTACTCCGATTAGGGGCAGTGTTCCGAACAAAAACAACACACCCAAAAATCTTGCGGCTAGGAGGTGTCGGCGAAATTTCGTAATCACAACCAGCAAAAGAGGCCTGCGGCTAAGAGGTGTCGACTGCTGGAACCGGCAGAAGAGGCCGGTGGCTGATGGATTTAGGGTTAGGTTCTGATACTATGTTAAAATTTGGAATATATAAGCTCAATCTTATTGATAAGAGGGGCATTTAGACCCAATTACAATAGACATAATAAATAAAAGAAACAAAACAAAATAAAATAAAATAATATAATTGTAAATAGGAAATACATAATAAGGAAATAAAAGCAAATAATAAGTAAAAACGTCTAGGAAGCGTCGTTATAAATCTAATAGAGAATATTATGGGGATATAATGTATTAATCTTTCCATATATGGTTGAATCTCCTAGGCCAAAATTCTACCTCATCTATGCCTTCGCTGAATTCTCTAATTTTCAAATAAGGATTGCCTTCAAAATTAAATTTAATAAAAAAATCGCATATGTCTACTACAAATGTATTTGCACCTTGCTTGGCCGTGCCATGTAAGTGAAGGAGGATTTAGCTTGCTTCAATTAGGATGGGCCATGTGCATAGCTGGACACAAATGATTAATGTAGTGATTTTGTAATGTCATTTATTACATTAATTAATTCCTTGGGGAAAAACACGACATACTAATGAAATGCATGTTAGCTTGGAAAATAATATTTTGTACAACAAGATATGCAAGTTAGCTTATAGCTCATCAGTCAAAAATTTAACCAATTAAAGGGTCAATTCCTTCAAATTGGACATAAATCATTGAAACATCAAAATATTACAAGCATGTTAATTTCTTACCGAAAAAAAATAAAAAAAACTATATGACAAAAAATAGAACTTGAGTTTTATGATATTAATAAAAAAGTTCGGTAGAATATGTAAATCATTACTTAAATGTCAATGGCTACTAGCGCATATATTACTGCAAAACTACAATCTTATCATCCTTAGGAATTAACAAGCTAATAACAGTCCTCATACAATAGTTAATACATTGCTTCTAGTAATTATTTTACCATTTTAACGTGGTATACAGGACAAAATGGACTTGCTGCACACCTGTAATAAAGTCTGCAGAGCATTTTGGCGAAATATGTTAGATGATGGTGGAAATGGGGCTGGGGGTAACTCCCAATTCTTTATGTCATTTCTGCAGACCCCCCAGTGTATAATAACATCTGGTAAATCAGCATCAAAATAAACAAGGTGTTTATCTGCCTCACAGCTTTTCCTGACAGTAATTGTTACAGAATTCAGGACAAACTCTTCCTTAATGACAGAGTATTCTTCATAAAAATCTGAAATATGTCTGTGGTTCAGCGAATGATCTAGAAGAACAGGATTACACTCTTGGTCTTTAGAATGAGAATTATCAGGTTTCAGGAGAAAGTTAGATACCTGATCAAAAAGACCTGCAAGTGATACTTTGTCAGTGAGTTATTAATAGTGATTTAAAATTGAGAAAAGTGAACTAGCACATGAAACGAACACAATCCAGAAAAAAGGGAAGAAAAATGAAAAATTAATTTTCTATGGCTATTATCGTGCAAAGAATTTCACTCTTGTGCACAAACTTTTAAAAGCCCCGGTAGCATGTAACTCCTGTCCCTAGCTTTAAATTTTTTTGCCATCAGAGAATGCAGCACAAAGGATGCTCATAGAGTGCTTCTAACTTCTAAAGCTCCATGTAGTTGTAAAAACAATACAGCTAACATTAACTTCTTTCTAGTATTACGATCATTCAGGTAAAATGAAGAAGAAAGTAAAAAAAACACAGTTACAATTTATTTAAATTAACAGAAAAGTAAAACACAACCTGGCCATATATAAAAGCTTTGCTTTCTAGCTTCATTGCAGATACCTTGTTGAACATGATTCCTCAGTTGGATTCTGAAGTCTCTGCCCTTATGCTGAATCCATGCTCCTTTCTCTTCCTCCTTAAAAAAGGACAATGAATTGGATGCCAAGTTAGTTATTGATGTAACAACTCCAAAGATTTATAAAAATTCTGTAGGTCTAACCTCCATGAAAAGAGCTAGAATTTGTAAACAAGGCATTTCTAATTTGGCATTTTTATATGGGCCATTTTGTTTCGTTTGTTAGCATAAACATCATATTTTGCAGTGCAATTGGTTATATTATAGGCAACGAATGAAAAACGTTGGCATATAAATGGGAATTTGAAAAACTAAGCCGGAATGCAAGCCACTTAAATAATGTCCATAAGGAACTACATGTATTAAAAAGTGTATTTTATTCACTAAGAAATTGTAATTGTTTAATGCTATGACCTAAGCTTTATTTATAAATTGTATTAGGATGGCTTGCTTCTAGAAAAGCTCCCATAACACAATTTTTTGAGCGAAAAACAAGTAAAGGAAAGTGTTATATTGAACAGACACATATATTCTTCAATATCAGGGGAAACATCTTCGAAGAATGAATTGAGCATCTTCGTCAACTAAAGATAACATTCTTTTTTTTATAGATCTTTCTTGAGCATGAGTAAAGGTGGCATTATTTCTCACAGCAGAGCACACAGCAAAGTAGGGAGATAGCATTACCAAATAAAGCCTTAGCCAAAAACCATGAATTAGACATGGAAAATACTCACGATCATACAAAGTGCAGACAAAGACAAAATCATAAAATAGATCCATAAGGGCTGGTTTAGCGCATTTTAAACAGCAACAACAAAAACAACATAATACCCTCAAAACAAAATTTATTGCAGCGATTGATTTGGAACTGTCAAACTCGATTTGAACTTCATGTAGAACCTGTCCTTCCACTAAATATCTCTTCATGGGTGTTTCTACTGCATAACCCTGGCATTAGCCACAGAATTGTCTCAGAATTAACAGTGAGATAGAATAGAAAATTCAAAGAAAGAAAAATACATAGAAACTACCTTAATTGTAATAGAACCAGGAGGTCTCATTTCAGAAGGAGGTTGATCCCATTCACTACATATTTCAAAACAATAAAATATTATTACGTAATCCAGAATAACATGGGAAACAAGATTTAGTACAGTATATGTTTTCTGGAATCACTCTGACCAACAGAAATGTCTGTCAAGCTTATGCTATGAAAACTTGATCTCTCCAAGGGAGGAAAAAACCTTTAGCTTACCAGGATTTGGTAAACAAAAAATATGACCATAGAAATTTCCATCCATTACCTCTCTACACTAACTAGTGTTAAGAAAAATAAATAAATTTCATTCTAAACCAAACCCAAAAAAAGAAAAAGCCTCAAACAAATTTTATGGGCCGTCCATGAAAACATCCCCACAATATGGCCCTGTACAAAGCCATTAACGATACCTATGCAGAACATTACATTCAAAAATAGAAAAGGAAAACCTAAAAAATTATTTGTAATGTACTTTTAAGAAAAAAATTTGACTATGTATATACACAAACATGAACTTGGAAAATAATAAAAAGCAAGTTCACAAAATCATAACTGCAAGGGAAAGTCTTCGCCATATCTTTATAGGGACATAAGAAGAACATTTCATGCATCCTAACGGACTTGCGGGTATAAAATTAAGATAGAACGGTTGATTTAAAGAGCGCATTTCATGCATCCTATCGGTCTTGCGGGTATAAAATTAAGATAGAACAGTTTCTATCAATCTAAATGGAGCACGAACTAAAATAAGCTAAGTGAAAATGTACAATGCACCATGTAAATGTCATAATCAGAAGTAAAAAGTAAATGATGCTGTGATGTCAAAATACAACTAAAAGTCACACTAAGATATTTGTATCTACTAAGGATATATGCTCTTTAACCAAACTACAGTGCTTGCCTCATATTGAAGAAAAGATTGAAAACAAAAAAGTGGACTGTTGCCTACGTTAGGATCCTACGGATGCCCCTTTTAGTACTCCCATAGAACCTTTCTCTTTTGTGTCGAGTTGAAGGGAAGCTTATTTCAACAAAAATATGTGTGTGTGTTTCTGTGTCTGTGTCTATATATATTGTAGACATTTGTTCAGAATGTATTCACGAAAAAACCACAAAAAAGATGCTCTTGAGAATAAAAACAGAAAGGAAAAACTAAAAAAAGAACAAAAGGTACATTTCAAAGTTTAAATAACACAGCAATCTTTCCTTTATCTTCAAGAATCCAAAAATGACCAAAAACAGACCTGCTCTCATCATCACAGTAAGTAACTCCCCAATGCATGATCCATTTCCCTTGCAGATTACAACAAACAACGACTTGCGTTCTGGACCCCTCCTTATCCACACGTCCTACCTTCACAGACACCTTCCCTTCAACCTGACAAATAAAATTCCCAATTCCTTAATCAATTCCTACCACCCTAATCCGACCATCATGAAGGCAAAATATCCAAATATATCGAAAACCAAGGAAAAGACTGGAGCCTTATCAATCAAAATAGACAGGCCAATGAGCCTTCACTGGCCATGGCAAACGAGATAACCTCAACAGAAAAGCTCACCGTATTGGTCCGCTTCAATGGAAACGTCTGCGAGAATACAACGTCAGTATCGGAAACAACCGATGGGGTCTCGGAAATTCCCGCCCTGAGGAGAGGAAGAACACTAGGTGCCCTCGGCAGACGAAGGATGAGCTTCGTTTTGCTATGACCTCCGGAGAAAAGCACACGGCTTTCCGTCCGGGGCCAGTGGAGGAGCGGTTCCCACCAGGTTAACGACATTGGCTGCGGAGAGGCAAGGTCCGGCGAGAGAAAAAAGTGCAGAGGTGGGACCTGGGCGGAAGAACTGGCGGACCGAAAAATAGTAAGAGGATTAACCGTTTTAAGGAAAATCAATATTTAATTAAAATCATCAAAATTTGCCCAAATTTTGAAATAAAATTAAAATTTATCAAAACTTTCAATTAAAAATAAAAATATTAAATAAATTCACTAAAAGAAATTCAAAATTAAAATTTAACATATTAAAACCTAATTACAATCAAATAAAAAAAATTCACCAAAAAAATCACAAACCAAAATTTGAATTTAAATCAAAACCAAAGTATTAGAATTTTTATTGAATCTCAAAATAAAAAATTCCAAAATTAATTAATAAATTTAAAATTAAAGTAAAATCAATTCAAAATAAAAAATTAAAATTAAAAACAAATAATGTTCAGAACCAATAAAACACATACCCACCTCATCATGCCACTAAATTATACCAAATCTAAATTTCAAGTCCACAAACCAAAATCAAAATCCAAATTAAACCCAAGCCCAAATTCTAAGCCCATTCCATATATCCAATTCATGCTAAGCCATGTCAAGCTCATCATCACCCAAGCCAAGGCAACAAATCTCATGACAAGCCACCAAGTCAAATGTAAGCCACCAAGCCAATGTCAAGCCAAGGGTGAGCCAAAACCAAGGTAGAAACCCCTTGACAATTCACTTCCAAGCCATCTCATCCATGGATGAGTCAAATCCAAATTTTTCCACCCAAGTGACCCAAAAGTCAAACTCTTGATCATGACCAACTATCGATCAATTTTTCAGAACATGCAAATTAATTTTTTATGTATATATAATTTTGGTTTGGAAAATAGCATTTTAATTTTGAAAAGATGATACCAAAGAGATCTCATATATTTACTAGATTAGATAGTTGAAAACAATATCACAAGTAAAGCACCACCATGAGAGATGAGCATATCATATGTTAGTAAGCTCAATCATTTAAACTAAGAAATTCATGACACTCGTTAGGTATGCAAATTTTGTGACTGACAATTCCCCTGTTTAATATGAAGATTAGATATAGTTTATATTACCTAGGTTCTCAATTCCCTATAAGTGCAAACCCTTATAGTTAATTACATCTTAAATGACCAAAGTCACTTAAGAAAACTCTCGATAATGATTGGAGGCCTCGTCTTCAAGAAATCAAAGTTAAGTTTTCACGATTGTTTATAAGAAAGCTAAGCACGAAGGGACCTAGTGGGAACAATTATTTTTAGAATCCAAAGAAGTGAGAGGTAGGGGTGATGTGGGTTTTTTTATGCATTATAAATATTTTTTAACACCACAACACACAAGGCAGCTATACTAAAAAATATGTAGATTAATGACAATAAAACTTACTTCAGTTAATAAGTTTTCTCTTTTAAAATATCTAAAGTTTTCACTCCTAGTGAATTAAGATGTACTTTCAATTTCAAATCATCACTAGGTTGCAAACGCAAGTATACGTATCGCTCAAGCAATAAAGGGCTCTAATGGATTCCTAAGTATCTTCCTAAGTATCGATCTATCGATCCCACGGGGAGGTAAGATTTGTTACGGAAATCACGCAAAAGCACAATATTTAAACTATAGAAATATTAAGTAAGAAAACAGGTCAAAATTTAGTTAATGTCATTAAAGAAACTACGTTTACTACTCTAATCTCTAAATTTCAAAGCTAAATGTACTAAAACTAAATTAGATTTTGTGATTAAGAGTTTAAATTTAAGAAAGCATCATTCCCCTTACAACGAGATTATAGTCAGTGAATTATCAAATTGAAGAAAATTGTATTGTGTCAAATAGAAATAATTATATTCTTTATCATTTTTATAAGTGATAAAGAACATTGGTTGATCCAGTGTTTAGACCCTAAATTCGCGGTTAGGCTATGAAGTTAATGGCTCTTACTTCAGAGTTCCCACGTTGCCCTCACCTAAGGGCTAACATCTCACTTTAGTTTCCAAATGCCTCGACCAAATTGGGGATTTTATTCTATCACCCTATAATCTTCAATTCTCTCATCAATGAATATTTTCGTATTTATTTGCACTCAACCCCATGAACTACATTCTAATCTATGAAATCGAATGTGATTCTCACTTTATTGTATAAGGAATTGCCCTCTCAGATCGTATGTTCCACAATAAATTTTAACAATTCAATTGGTCAGATCAAAAAGTAAATGAAGCTTGAAGTTTGAATCATCACAATTATGAAATTAAAATATGGCACAACAATCTTGATATTTCACATGATCATTTCTCTTTGTAAGGAGAAGAACAAAGAAACTGATGCACCAAAAATATATGCATTTTTAGACCTATATTTTATACTCATTTTTTATGATATTGCGCTTTCAAGGAAGGTATTTATCATGTTTTATTGCAGTTTGATCATTTTTAGCACTTGAAGCAAAAATGATGGAATTTGAAGTCGAAACGGCATTTTGGAGAGAAATACTCAGTGCCGACGACGCCGGCATGAAGGAAGGAGTCCAAAACAACGGGGGTACCAATGGCGCCAGACTGGGCATTGATGGCGCCATTTGATAGAGAGCACAAAATTAATTTCAGGCCACAGGTGCCGACGGTGCCATCGTGAGTGCCATCGGCGCTGAAGTCTGTGCAGGGCAAAATTCTAAAAAATTTGACAACTTTGGAGGCTTTTTGAAGAGTTATTTGATAAACCTCTTGGAAAACCAAAATTATGCTCTATTTAGAGCGAAAATTGTTCAGAAAAAGAGTCTGCTAGTGCGTCATTGAGTTTTCTTTAGTGTTCCATTGTGTATATTGTGTAGTGTGGTGAGTCTGAGTGTGATTTCTCCTAAGAGTTGTTGGAAAGGGAGAGAAGTGAGAGATTTCTTCTTCTCTATATATTTGAAGAGAGAATTAAGAGTCTTGTAAAGAGAGAAAGAGCCTAAGAGAAGCTACAAGGGATTTGCTTTGAGGAAGAGTTAAAGATAAGTGGTGTTTGTTTATTATTGTTGTATGAATTTTTTCTTACTTATGAAATTTGTTTTTTTGTCATATCTTTCTCATGAGGTATGAGTAGTTTTTTTTGTCTTTCTCCCTACTCTGAGATATGGTGAAATGAAGAGATAATTTGGATGTGCTAATTTTAAAATATAAAATAAATTATGTTGATTTTTTCACTCTGTTCTTAATTTACTCTTTGATTCGACCAATTGAAATGTTAACATTTGTTGTAAAACATATTATCCAAGAAATGGAGTACGAGTTTCACAACAAAGTGAGAATCACATTTGATTCCATGAAGGAGTATTTCGTTCAAAGAATTGAGTGCAAATAAATATGGAAATATATATTACTGGGCGAAGAATCAGAGATTCTAGAGTGACAAACTAAAATACACAATTTTGTCTTAGTGTTTAAGAACTAAAGCGAGAATTAGCCTTCAGGAGAAGGAAAGTAGGAGCTCTAGAGTGAGAGTCAGTATCCTCCCAGACTAACCACGGATTTAGAGATTAAACCTAAGATTAGCCAACGATTCCTTATAACACTTGATTGAGGGTAGAGAATTAAAATTGCTTCTATTTGACACAAGACATAATAAAATCATTTATCTCTCTCATTTAACCAAAAACTCATTGTAGTGGGAAAGATGTTTTCTCATATTGGATAACTTCGTCACAAAAATGTCGTTTGGTACTTATTACTTAGCTTTGCTTTATAGTTTCACTAGTATTTGGTAATTTAGTTCTGATTATACCCTAAACATTTGAAAATAGTGTAGTAGATTTTCTTTATTATTGTGAATTTCTTGATTTAAATTTCCATTACAAATTTACACCTTCCTCGTGGGATCGATAGTTGGGGCTAAAACAAAAAGTCTTGTATTACTTGATAACGATACGTATACTTTGGAAAACCGACATTATGCTATATTTAGAGCAGAAATTGTTCATAAAAAGTGTTTGTTAATGTGTCATTGAAACTTCTTTAGTGTTCCATTGTGTGTATTGTGTAGTGTTGTGAGTTTAAGTGTGATTTCTTTCAAGAGTTGTTGGAGAGGGAGAGAAGTGAAGGATGTCTTCTTCCATACATCTTTAAAGAGAAAATTAAGAGTTTTGTAAAGAGAGAAAGAGTACAAGAAGAGCTACAAGAGATTTTCTTTGAGGAAGAATTAAAGATAAATGGTGTTTGTTTATTATTGTTGTATAAACATTCTTTTACTTATGAAATTTGTATTTTATTATATCCTTCTCATGAGGTCTGGTAGTTTTCTTTGACTTTCTCCCTACTTTGAGATATGATAAAATGAAGAGATAATTTGGATGTGCCAATTTTAAAATATAAAATAAATTGTGTTGATTTTTTCACTCCGTTCTTAATTTACTTTTTGATTTGGTCAATTGAAATGTTAACATCTATTGTGAAACATACTATCTGAGAAATGGAGTATGAGTTTCACAACAAAGTGAGAATCACTTTCGATTCCATGAAGGAGTGTTTCATTCATGGAATTGAGTGCAAATAAATAGGGAAATATATATTACTGGGTGAAGAATTGGATATTCTAGAGTGACAGACTATAATCCCCAATTTGGTCTTAGTGTTTAAGAATTAAAGCAAGAGTTAGCCTTCAAGGGAAGGGAAGTTGGAGCTTTAGAGTGAGAGTCAGTATCCTCCCAGTCTAACCATAGATTTAGAGACTAAACCTACGATTAGCCAACCATTCTTTATAACACTTGCCAGAGGGTAGAGAATTAAAATTGCTCTTTTTTTGGCACAAGACATAGTAAAATCATTTATCTCTCTCATTTAACCAAAAACTATTGTAGTGGGAAAGATGTTTTCTCATATTGGATAACTTCGTCACAAAACACGGATTTCATTAAAAAAAATAAGTTTATAAAATAAAAGAAATAAAAGACACAACTTATCTCACAATTCTTCCCAAGCAAACTCCTAGAAGCTCCTAGAAGTTCTCTTAGAAGTTCTCTCCAAGCATTTCTTTCTTTACAAGCACTCTCAATTCTCACTTAGAAGTATAA